TCGCCTTCCTCATGCCCGTCGTGCCCGTCGGCTTGGTGGTTTGCCCCGCCCGGAAGAGGCGGAGCCATATCTCCTAGTGGGGGGCAATGCCCAGATACCCCTCGCAGACGGCGACAAAAATGGCCGCCTACGCAATAGAGTTGGGGTTGAAGTTGTGGAGCTCCACGCCGTAGTAGTGTGGGAGCGCCCGCATGAACCGGTCCGCCGGCAGGCCAAGACCGCGCTCGTGGAAGGCCACGAAGCTCACAACGTAGCCATCACACGGCCTCGGCTCTGGCTCGCTCCCCGGAGCAATCTACTCTAGCCTGTTGGGGTCGGTGACCGGGCGAAGGAGACCCTCAACGACAAGCGACTGTAGCTCCGCCGCGGACACGTCGGACGGAGCCCAAGGATCCGCCTGAAGGACAACAGCGTTGCCGGCCATTGCGCAGTGGAGAATGCGGCTACGGCGGTAAGGCTCGCTCGCTCTCTCCCTCTCTCTTCCTCGCCCTTCTCCCTTCTTCTCCCTGGTGCACTCTGTTCTTAGCAACGGCTCGAAGGCAGAAAAGGCGAATGCAGGCAAGGTAAGGAGGAGAGGGGCGAGGCTCGTCACGTATTTATGCAGGAAGGGGGCGAAACGGACGGGCGACGAAATCGGGGAAGTTTCCCTCAAATCTGGCGTAGTTAATCCGGATCCGATTAAACCGCCCACGCGCCCACCTTTTCTTTATTAATTGCATGCACAGTAACGTCCCATCCGTTGACATCACATCGCATCCAACTGTAGCGACTACAGGCGCCGTTCTGTCTCCCCGAGAAACTGCCTCAAAAGGCGCACCTGCCGATTGTCAGCCGATGGGAAGGGAATATTCCCCTCCCGATTCCTTTCAGGCTAAGGAACTGGGCGCCGAGCCCGTTATGGTCCAGGGGTTCAAAGGCTGGGCCCCCGAGGGTCTCAACAGCCGCCCTAGGACAACAGAGTCAGGGATGACTATGGGTGAGCCCGTACATGGCCAAGGCCCAAGCAAGCGACTGCTTGAGACCGGCAGGGAGGTCTCTGAATGGGATCTCACCGTAGGGAGGCATCGAGCCCCCGGGGCCAATCGAACGGCCCTGGGACCCACTAGAGAAGCCCTCTGGTACTTTTGGAGTGTGTCTCTGGACCGCTAGCCAACCCCTATCGAATGGGGCACGGTTCTCCACTCGGACTTACTCGATAATAGCTCACCGGAAGTGTCACCGCTCGCACCCACCGAGGGTAGCCTGGCATATCCCACCCCTCCTTCCAAGCGAAAAGGATGCGCGAGGGTCACACAAAAAAGATAGGGAAACTCCTAATTGCCCTCTCGCTTCGTGCGGAGGCTCGGGGGCTCTTCCTGCAACTAAGCCGAGACCCAGCGACCCAGGCTCGCACTCGAGGGCTCGGCAAACAACCCCTCCTTCCGAGCGAAAAGGATGCGCGAGGGTCGCACAAAAAAGACAGGGGAACTCCTGATTGCCCTCTCGCTTCGTGCGGAGGCTCGGGGGCTCTTCCTGCAACTAAGCCGAGACCCAATGACCCAGGCTCGCACTCGAGGGCTCGGCAAACAACCCCTCCTTCTGAGCAAAAAGGATGCGCGAGGGTCGCATAAAAAAGGCAGGGGAACTCCTGATCGCCCTCTCGCTCCGTGCGGAGGCTCGGGGGCTCTCCCTGCAACCTCCTTCTGAACAAAAAGGACACGCGAGGGTCGCACTTCCTACAACCAGGTCGAAGACAAGCAACCCGAACTCGCACTCGGGGGCTCGGCAAAACACGATAAAAGGCATCGAGCCCGTTACGGTCCAGGGGTTCGAAGGCTGGGCCCCTGAGGGTTTCGACAGCCGCCCCAGGACAACAGAGTCAGGGATGACTATGGGCGAGAAACAGATCGTGGCGAGAGCCCAAGCGGCGATCGCTTGGGATGGCCTAAGTTGTGTCCGAGACCGGCAGGGAGGTCTCTGAATGGGATCCCACCGTAGGGAAACATCGAGCCCCCGGGTACTTTTGAAGTGCGTCCCTAGACCACCAGCCGACCCCTATCGAATGGGGCATGGGCCTCCACTCGGACTTACCCGATAACAGCTCACCGGAGGTGTCACTGCTCGCGCCCACCGAGGGTAGCTGACATACTCCACCCCTCCTTCCGAACGAAAAGGATGCATGAGGGCCGCCCAAAAAAGACAGGGAAACTCCTGATCGCCCTCTCGCTCCGTGCAGAGGCTCGGGGGCTCTTCCTGCAACTAAACCGAGGCCCAGCGACCAGAACTCGCACTCATGGGCTTTGCAAACACGATAAAACTCCTCACTCAACGGGGAAAAAAGCCCCTGGAGGAGTAAATCCACTCCTCCAGGGCCTCGGGGGCTACACCCGGCGGGTGCGCTCGCGCGCACCCACCGGAACCACGAGTATAAAACGCAATCCCGACGGGAGCTGCTACGAGCCAAGTCTCGACAAAACCTCAGGGAGAGTGCTCGCACTCCCCCCGAGGCTCGAGGGCTACTGTCGGATACCATAAAAAGGGGTACCCTAAGCGAGAACCGAAAAAATTGTTTAGCCCTTGTAAATATCAAAGCCAAGAAACAACGACGAGGCCTCGGCCGATTCTCCGATTCGCCCGAGGCCCGCGCCTCACAGCCTCTGACGAGGTGCCGACTCTCCGCCTCGTAGAGGCCCCCTCGCCCGAGGCCCCGCGCCGTAAGGCCTTGGATGAAGTACCGATTCTCTGCCTCGCTCGAGGCTGGCTAGGCAATGACCCCATCACCGCTGCCTCGACCGACTTCTCTGACAAAATGTCATGTCCAATTAACGTGTCCAACCACTCCCGCAACGTCAACCGCGCGTCGGCACAGTATAGCGGAGTGGCCGACGGGACGGGAGTCACAACGACACCATGCAGTCAGGGACATGACTGGGCAGGGGTTACCGGCTGCTGTGCTCAGCACTGTGCCCATGACTGATGCACGTATTGCACTATGCTACCTAACTCCTGCTCTGAGGACAGCGCAGCGTGGAGAGTCAGGTCCGGGTCCCTGTAGCCTCAAAATCAGTGTACAAGACCAACTGCTCCCTCTGAGCCTCGGCAATCCGCTTCAGGGTCTCGGTAGCCTCGGGATTCGCGCCCGCCGAGCCCCCCATGATGGCTCGACCTCGGCACCAACTGAGCCTCGGCTCTTTACGCTATCGACACACAGCGACCAGCACGTCGTCTGCAGTACGCACCGTACCCTGCGCCAAGCTGCACCCACGTCACACATAGGGCCAAGCTCCTGTATCCTCGGAGTCAGCACGCCCGCACCATCGCGTCAGCCCGGCCTCGACACTCCATGCCGATCAAACATGCAGCAACCAGCACGCCTCCGGTAGAGAAAGACGCGCCTACCACCACAGGAGCTCCCACGTCTCATAGGACCAGGCGTGACTGGCACACCGCTCTAGTGCACCAAGGACAAGACCACTTCATCGACCATGCCACCACAATGACAAGCTACAGGGCTCGGCACTCCACCTCCGCTCACAAAACGCCATGTAGCAATCCATGTACCGTCCCCGTGCCTTCCTTCGACTATAAAAGAGAGTGACCAGGGCCGCTTCTAGGCATCGAGAGAACAGATCCAAACCACTCTCGCACTCACGCGCAAAACACACTCACTCAACCCACACACGCTCCCCCGCTGCCTAAGAGCAACGTCTCAAGCAGCCCACGCCGTTCCACGCAGAGACCTAGGACTAGCTCCCTCTCTCGCCCTGCTTGTAAACCCCTACTATGAGCACCTCGGTGCAAGGAATACAAGATCGCTCTCTCAGACTGGACGTAGGGCATCTATTGTCTGAATCAGTATAAACCTTGTCTCTTTGTATCACCATCCGGGATTAGGGGCACGCAGTTCAAATTCACTAATTGGTTGAGGACCCCTCGGTCCAAAACACCGACAGCTGTTGTAACATGTTTAGCCACTATACTAAATATCATGTTTTTTCCAAGGTTATTTGACATTAACATCCATCTTGCGGGATAATACCAAGTTCAAGCAGGCTCTGAAAATCAGAAACCCAAATAATAGATTAAAGAGAATATACGATGCTTGCAAGATAAATAAGGTCTGTGGTGAGGGTGATGACCTTGATGTCCAGCAGCAGCAAGATACTGATGAGCATGTAAAGAGAAGAGGTGGCTGTGGTGCTCAGGAGCCAATTATTACAGTTGATGGTATGAAGATGCTTGTGGAATTCAAAGCACCAAAGAAGAAAAATGATGATCGAGAGCAACTCTCTGAGTCAGTGGAACTGAAGCAGATTCTCTCTGCTGAGAGGGTATTTATATGATCTATGTTTATTTAACAAATTAACAAGTTGTTCTAAGGAAGTTATTGTAACCATGCGGTTTGCTTACATGGCTTGTTTGACCAGGTCCTTAACGTTCTCAAGCGTATATCTGACGAGGAGTGTCTTCTATTGGGCTTACATCCCAAATTGGCCCATCCAGATTGGATGATACTCCAGGTTCTTCCAATTCCTCCACCCCCTGTTAGACCTTCTGTCATGATGGGAACTTCTTCCAAAAGCGAGGTGAGCCTACTACTACTATTACAGTAATTATGTTTTGACTTGTTTGCATGGATGGATTGGAATGCTCAGCTCACTGTTATTCTTCTTGGTCTTTCATCTATTTCTGCAGGATGATTTGACTCATCAATTAGCTATGATAATTCGGCATAATGAGAACTTGAGGAGGCAAGAGAGAAACAGAGCTCCAGCTCACATTATAGAGGAGTTTGCTCAGTTGTTGCAATTTCACATTGCTACATACTTTGATAATGAACTTCCTGGCCAACCCAGGGTGAGTAGTCTAGAAAGATGTCTTGCATGTCACCTATAGATACAAGTCTAAATTATCCTTTCTGTTTATTTTTAAATGCTCAGGCCACACAACGTTCTGGAAGGCCAATTAAATGAATTTGCAGCAGGCTGAAAGCAAAAGAAGGCCGAGTTAGAGAAAACTTGATGGGGAAGCGAGTTGATTTCTCAGCCGGTACTGTTATCACACCATATCCAAATATTAACATTGATGAATTGGGTGTGCCATGGAGTATTGCTTTGAATCTGACATATCCAGAAACTGTCACTTCTTATAACATTGAGAGGTAAACCAGTTTTCTAAAACGTGTTATGGAAATGTTCTTTTGCTGAGCTTACAACTAACTCCAATGATCTCAGGTTGAAGGAACTTGTACTAAATGGGCCTCATCCTCCCTCGGGGAAGACATGTGCAAAGTACATTATCAGGGAAGATGGTCAGAGGCTTGATCTTTGTTATGTGAAGAAAAGCAGTGATCAGCATTTGGAGCTTAGTTACAAGGTGAGCATTGTATTCATTGTAACTGTAGCGGTAATGCTTTTATAATCTCATCAAAAAATTTCTTTACTATTTTTGTGCCTCTGGTCTGTGGTATCCTCAGGTGGAGAGGCACCTCAATGATGGAGATTTTGTTCTTTTCAATCGGCAGCCAAGTCTTCACAAAATGTCTATCATGGGGCATCGAATCAAAATTATGCCCTACTCAACTTTCTGATTGAATTTGTCTTTTACATCACCATATAACGCTGATTTTGATGGGGATGAAATGAATATGCATTATCCCCAGTCTTTTGAGACTAGAGCAGAAGTTCTAGAATTAATGATGGTGCCAAAATGTATTGTGTCTCCACAATCAAATAAGCCTGTGATGGGTATTGTCCAAGACACGCTGCTTGGATGTCGCAAAATCACCAAAAGGGACACTCTCATTTTTTTAAAGATCCAGACGAACCGGCTTTGGTTAATAATAAGTGGAGAAGCAAACATTCGAGTTTACATGCGCGAGCGGCGCCCCCCCACCACAGCCTAAGCTGCGCGGGGTTTGTTTACCTAGCTAATTACTCACTAATGACTTGAACGACCGTTGCTGGCCTGAAGGCCTTGCATCCTGCTAGGGACCATTACTGCAGTGTCTTTTATCTCCGTGACTGCTGCTTGCGCCATCTTCCAGCATCCCCTAAAAATGACAACATTTCTCCGGTTCTAGATGATCCAAAGCGTCAGTATTACCAGACTTTTTCCTCGCTTTCCCCCTGAAGGGACACTCTCATTGAAAAGGTGAATAAAGATAGACTTTACTTACCTTTTTCAATAGTGTTTTATGTTAAGTTTTGTAGCTCAACGTTATGAAATTTATTCTAGGACGTATTTATGAACATATTGATGTGGTGGGAAGACTTTGATGGAAGGATTCCTGCTCTTGCCATTCTCAAACCAAGGCCTATTTAGACTGGGAAACGAGTTTTCAACTTAATTATCCCAAGGCAAATAAATTTAATTCAGTTTTGTTCCTGGTATTCTGGCGAAGAGAAAGGATTTGTTACTCCCAGTGATACTATGGTCAGGATAGAAAAGGGAGAGCTTCTATCTAGCACACTTTGCAAAAAGACTCTTGGAACAGGCTCTAGGAGTCTGATTCATGTTTTTTTTTGAATTTCAACGGGGGGAGGCGTTCCCCACCTGATTTATATAATTATTTGGTAATTATGCTTCCATTAGCGTTCTGATTCAGAAGTTGCATCACAGTTTAGTAATTTCTTTTTTCTCATTTCTTTGATCTAGTTTCATTTTAACTTGTTCTTTGTAGGGAAGAGGTTGGTCCAGATGCTGCACGCAAGTTCTTAGGTTATACACAGTGGCTTGTCAACTACTGGCTTCTTCAAAATGGTTTCAATATTGGAATTGGAGATATGATTGCAGATGCAGACACAATGAAAATCATTAATTGAGCAATTTCTAGTGCTAAGGATAGTGTGATGAAACTTATTAAACAAGCACGCGACAAGAAATTGGAAGCTGAGCCAGGACGCACCATGATCGAGTCATTTGAAAATAAAGTAAATGAGGTAATTGTTTGTGTCTTTGATTATGGATTGCCTTTTATTTTGTATATAGGTCTTCCAATCAAACAAGAAAACTATCACTATCAGTTGAGTTGTTTAACATCAAGTCCACTCTCCTTTTATTCCAGGTTCTCAACACGGCTGGTAATATGGTTGGAAGCAGTGCGCAGAAGAGCTTGTCTGACAGCAACAATTTGAAGGCTATGGTCACTGTAGACTCAAAAGGCACTTTCATTAACATTTCGCAAATGGCTGCTTGTGTTGGACAGCAAAATATTGAGGGCAAGCGGATCCCATTTGGTTTCAGTGGTCAAACATTGCCACATTTCACAAAAAATGACTATGGGCCTGAAAGTAGTGGATTTATGGAGAACTCTTACCTTCAGGGTGGTAGAGAAGGACTGATTGATACGGCTGTGAAGACTTCAGAGACTGGGTATATCCAACGGAGGCTTGTGAAAGCTATGGAGGACATCACGGTGAAGTATGATGGCACTGTAAGAAATTCCTTGGGAGATGTCATTCAGTTTCTATATGGGGAAGATGGTATGGGTGCTATTTGGATTGAAGAACAGAATTTGGACTCTTTGAAGATGAAAAAGGATGAGTTTGATACTGTATTCCGATATGATCTGGATGATGAGAATTGGAGGCCTAACTACTTGCTACCTGCCCATTTTGATGATTTGAAGACCATCAGTGAATTCAGAAGTGTGTTAGAGGTGGAGGTTCATAAGCTAGAAGCTGACAGGTTCCAGCTTGGGACTGAGATTGCTGCAAATGGTAATCATACATGGCCTTTGCCTGTCAACCTCAAGCGGCTTATCTGGAATGCTCAGAAGACATTCAAGATTGACATCAGAACATGTTCTGACATGCACCCAGTAGAAATTTTGGAAGTGATAGATAAGCTGCAAGAAAGACTGAAAGTTGTGCCTGGTGATGATGCTATAAGCATTGAGGCTCAGAAGAATGCCATCTTGTTCTTTAATATCCATCTTCGTGCCACATTTGCTAGCAAGAGGGTCTTGAAGGAATACAGGCTTGCAAGGGAAGCATTTGAGTGGATTATCGATGAGATTGTTTGGAGGTTTTCACAGTCATTGGTGGCCCCTAGTGAAATGATTGGATGTGTTGCTGCGCAGTCCATTGGGGAACCAACAACTCAAATGACTCTGAATACCTTCCATTTTGCTGGTGTCAGTGCCAAGAATGTTACCCTTGGAGTTCCCAGATTGAGAGAGATCATTAATGTCGCCAAGAAGATAAAAACTCCATCGTTGTCTCTTTACCTAAAGCCTAGGGTGACAAGATGAAAGAATTGGCAAAGAGTGTCCAATGTGCTTTAGAGTACACCACACTGCGTAGTGTGACTCATGCCACTGAAGTATGGTATGATCCTGATCCTATGGGAACCATCATTGAAGAGGATTTGGAATTTGTCCAGTCATATTATGAAATGCCTGATGAGGATATTGACCCGGATAAGATTTCTCCTTGGCTGCTGCGTATTGAGCTTAATCGGGAGATGATGGTTGATAAGAAGTTGAGCATGGCTGATATCGCCAACAAGATCAACCGTGAATTTGATGGCGACTTATCATGCATATTCAGTGATGACAATGCAGATAAACTTATTCTTCGCCTGCGCATCATAACTGATGAAGCTTCAAGAGGAGAAATACTAGATGAGTCTGCTGAGGATGAAGTTTTCGTCAAGAAGATAGAGAGTAACATGTTGGTAGAGATGTCTCTTCGAGGCATTCTGGATATTAAAAAGGTGTTTATAAAAGAGGTGAAAGTTAACAAATTTGATGTGAATGATGGTTTCAAAGAACATAAGGAATGGATGCTTGATACAGAAGGTGTTAATCTCTATCATGTGTCATGAGGATGTTGATGCTACAAGAACAACAAGTAACCATTTGACTGAAGTGATTGAGGTTCTTGGAATTGAGGCTGTTCGTCGAGCTCTCTTTGATGAACTTCGGGCAATCATATCTTTTGATAGATCCTATGTAAATTATAGGCATCTGGCTGTTCTTTGGGATACAATGACATACAGAGGTCATATGATGGCTATTACAAGGCATGGTATCAATCGCAATGACACTGAACCTCTTATGAGATGTTCTTTTGAAGAAATTGTGAATATCCTGCTCGATGCTGCTGTACATGCCGAATCTGACTACTTGAGAGGTTTCACTGAGAACATTATGCTTGGCCAGCTTGCTCCTATTGGTACTGGAGGCTGCGCACTATTTCTAAATGACCAGATGCCGCAGCAGGCCATTGAACTTCAACTCCCAAGCTATGTGGATGGTTTGGACATTGGCATCACACCAGCACCTTCACCTCTCTCTGGGTCACCATATCATGAAGGATTGATGTCCCTGAGTCATCTCCTGAGTCCAGATTTCAGGCATTCCCCCATTGATACATATGCTTCATTTTCGCCATATGTCAAAGATATGTCATTGTCACATGTTCCTTCACAAGGTGGTTACTCACAATCATTGTTGTCAGGGGGATACAATCCTAGGTCGGAAAGGTACATGGATGTATCACCGATATATACTCCATACAATGCTGCATCACCCATTAATGCTTCTACTTCAACACCATATAGTCCAGTAAGTCCGGTTTACTCAGCCACAACTCTAGTTTACACGCCCATAAGTCCCTATGTCAAGATATAATCCTTCTTTCCAAGTTATCTCCCTATGTCAAGATATAATCCTTCTTCTCCAAGTTATAGTCCCTCATACATCCCAACATACAACCCCACATCACACATCGTTATAGCCCAACCTCACCATTCTAAACTACAGCCCGACTTCCCAAGCTTCAATCCATCATATAATTCTTCCAACACACTCCCTCAAGGATGATAGCCCAACATCACTAACTACTGATGCAAATTTATCCTTGACAACCGTCCTACATCATATTTATGTATTGATTGCTTGTATTATTGGTTTAAATTTCATCCAATCACCACTGGTTATAGACCCGACCATCATATTCATTACCAAGTCGTCATACAACGGTGTCATCCTAATGGGCCAAAGTGGGCCCAATTAAAAATCCAAGATAATGGTGTTACATCAGTCACAAAAATATCACGGCAAACTGTGTTTAGTACCCCGAAACTTCACCGGAAGCTTCAATCTTTGTTAACGTTTTGAACGAAGCTGCGAAAGTTGAGTATAATTCTTCCAACACTTACTCTCCAACCGGACCAAGGATGACTCTGGGGAAACGGCGGGTATGTTGTGTGACTCCTCCGGACTACAAGTACTAACAATTCTCTGAGTTGCAAATTTGATCGCATTGACACGCCGAATCTTTAGGGGGATGATTGCAATCAAAGTGGGTTAAAAATATTTATGTATTGATTGCTTGTAGCATCCAAAGCTGGTTTAAATTTTAGTCCAACTGTTCACGGTGGTTACCGAGCTTACTCAACCGACTTTACCATCATATTCATTACCAAGTCTTCGTTAACCGTTTTGAACGGGCGACCCAACCAGGGTGAGCCCTATTAGGGCTTCATCATCTAGGAATCAAGCATCATCATTTGTGTCACATTTGTGTCCCAGAACAGTGTTCCATTTCACCCGTATGTCCCCTCCTTGAGTTTTGTGGATTTTTTAATGGATTGACTAACTTGTGTAGGCCAATTGATGACTCTGGAAGACCTAGCCCAGATTATAGTCCAACATCTCCAAATTTCAGGTAAACTGACACGGCATCAGGAATACATTAACTGCCTGTCAGGCATCATTAATCACATATTTTTCATTTAACATTGTGCACAGCCCTAGCAGAAGTGACTCTTCCACTGCGGCTAACTACTCCCCATCCTCCGCTGGCCAATCCATTGACAAGGACGGCGAGATCAGCTAGTGAAAAGATGACAAAAGATCGATGATGGCTGCAGAGGAAGAAATGAATCCATTGCAATATTCCATTTCTTTCTGCTTTTGTACAGTTGAGCGCATGATTTAGACGAATGGCTGGTTCTGAACTCTTATAGCAAATGTAAATGATCAAACGGTGTCTTGCAGGAATTCCAAATTTTAATGGCTAAACTGTGTCTATAAGTGATTTGAAGTAAATATGGCCTTGTGGAAAGCTATATTATCCAGAAATGCGTCTGAAATTCATTGGGAAATATCTACATATATATATATATATGCCTTTTTCTACTTTCATTGTATATTTATTTAGGTACCATAATGAGAAAAATAAAATCACCGCATAACACCACAACTTCCTGACGATAATCAGAGTTCATATGTTTCGAAGAGCTTCACAAGCAGAGAATTGCTGAATTGAATGTCAGAAAACTCTATTAGGTCAGTACCAATTTTAGATGAGTTATTTATATTTTGTTATTATGGTATATTATCCTAGAATACAATATGTGTTCATTATTTCCCTCCATTATGTCATTCTTCTACTGCATAGAAGTTTCAACAGTTTGCATCTTTGCACTCTGCAGGAGTCCTCTAACTGATGGATCAATATGGGCACCTGGCAGGTAAGGGAAACAAATACCCCATCTCACAATTGAACAGATATTCAAGCTTATATCCTGCATTGCCCCAATTTGTATTCGGAAGATCATAATTTGGTAACACCTGGAAAATGGATTTGAGCTTAGAAATAGGGCAAATACTTTTGAAGCCTAAATGTAAAATTAGGACTGTTTCAACTGTGTCATGTGCTAAATTGAGTTGTAACATATGAATGGACTCTTGCTTTGTAACTGAATGACAGAGCTCCTGGCTTTCCATTTTAACCTTTTCTTTCATGTGTTAACGACTCTTGGCGTTGTGTTCAAAATTCAACCCTTGCTGTTGGGCTACAATTACATGCAATGTTGATATGACATTTTAGTTTACATATGTTGTTGGGTTGAATGCGAGGATCCTGGAACTCTACAAGAGAAGGTTAGTGGTCTACATACGCATATCTGCAGCAAAATGATGCAGACTCAGAAATTTCGAACTGTGAATTTGCATGAATAAATAAATATGCATGGCTAAACATATGCAGGATGGATGCCCTGCTGCGGAGAAAAGACTGAGGTGGATCGGACAGTGAAGGAGAAGCTTGTCACTAAGGAGAACGTGAGGCAGTACCAGCTCGAGTTGCTTGAGAAACAAGGAGCAGGAACGCAATTGATTGCTTTCTATGATAATGGATATTTCATTCATGTCATATTATCTAGGTGAAGAATGACAGCACTGGATATGATGGCATTCGTGCTTCAATAAAGGAAGCAAAAGGATTTAAAGACAAGCCAAATCTTAGTCCAATTGGTTAGAGTTCCCCGGCGACACTCCTCAGGTCTTAGGTTCGACTCCCTGTGGGAGCGAATTTCAGGCTGAGGTTAAAAAAATACCACCGTGTAAGGGTGGGGCGGGGGTTCGGAGGTTTTCTCGGCCATGTGAGAAGGTCTTCTTCTTAATTGGAATGTTGTGGGGGCAGTCTTAACTGCTTCAAGTCGAGTTTTATCAAGGTAACACAGACTGGTAATAATATTTATTTATTAGTTTACTTGTCATTTTGGTGCAGCTTCATTAGATAAATGGCACATTATAACAGATGGTTTTGGATCTCCAAAAGGCGAACACATATTAGTGTTCCTGGGGGAGTGTTTTAGGTTTGAGAGAAGTAGAGGTAACTAGAAGCAATCTTGATTGGCTTCATGAACCTTTCCATTTTTCGGATGGGGTCAAGCTCAGCAATGAAATTATTGCTAAACTAACATTGTACAGTAAGAGAGAGTTGTAATAAATAGGTCATTGAATTCAGTCCTGTAAGAGAGTTACAATAAATAGGACATTTCTCTCAGATTGTTTTATGCTCTTGTGCAGGGATTTTAGATGGAGATGAATCGTGACATCAAAATTTGGTTCCTTTCTGGTTTGTTGGTCCCTGCTACATTGCTCCATTTTTCCATGCCAGCTGAGGTTATTCTCTCGTAAGGGTTGCATTGCTTTTGTTGTGGTGTGGTTGAGTGATTAGCGAGCGATTGTTGATCCACAGGTGCAACCTGCTAATTTGCTGTCATTTTGATTGACAACTTGATTTCTGTAATATGTGATTGATTTGGATGGTTGGTTTAAAATTGAGTGAATGCTAAGAGGTTGTTTTATGTGTTCTCTTTTTAACTGAAATGGCAAAGCTCCTGGATTTTCATTTAAATGAAATATTTTTTTAATTTCCCCTACAAAGGCTCTTTGTAATTTTATCTCACATGCGAAACTTCCTAATCAATAATGCAAATATAGATAACTTTGAAACTTCCTGATTTCAAAGATGGTCATCTTGTGTTCTTCCTTAATCATAATCAGTAGAACAGAGGAGGCACAACAGTTTTCTATTTGGTCATATTAGTCAAAAGTTTCTTGTTTGTAATAACAGATGTTCAGGTATACAATTTTGCAGGATTTGCATGTTAACTGTTATGCATTATCGTCACAAGCAGCTTCCCTGCACAGTGATTTGCATGTTCAGGTATACCATTGTACCGGTATCAAATGGATAACCTGATCTTTACTCCTTTATGGCTCTTATCTCACACAATTTTGTTTCATATAGTCACGTTATTCTCAACCAGCATTAACATCGTCAAGTTTGCCTTTAGCTGGGGATTGGAGTGTTTCCGGACCTTAGATCCTAGGCAGATAAATTTGGACCTCAGAGGGCAAGGTTTTTCAGATTAACTTTCCAGCAAGTGGGGCTATTTAGTGGCGCCTCCATCAAGAAATCTTTCAACACTTTAAATTCCCTTAATGTACTGGCAAGGATACTATGTGTGTTCAGGTAGGCTTTCTCTTATTTCTAGCGACCTTCTTTGCTTCAGCCAGCACCAGGATTGTCCGTTCCCCAGAATATCCAGGACTAAATCCTTATTTGCAGTGCATGTAGGTTCTTCTTTGTTCTAATATTGTGTATTATATAATATCTAGATATTTAGTCATGAAAAATAAATATGAATTTTATTATAATTGAATTACGGGTGGTACATAATCACGATGAATAGTTATATTTTTAATTGACGTATTATAAAGTATATCATTATTGCTATTTTTGTATGATTTATCAATCACACATCAATCACAATCATAAGCACGTGCATGGCTACTAGTATAATATAAATATATTTATACTTTCCCCCAATCCATAAATTCGCATGAGTCTGCAAATTGAAAGGATTAACAGGTCATTCATGGTTGTACTGCCCAAGAGGCCAGGAGCTGTCTCAGTTGATTCCTTCCGGCCGATTTGCCTTCAGAACTGCAGTGTCAAGATTCTATCCAAAACTTCAACCTGCAGATGACAGAAAGAGATTGGGAATTGAATTGACCTGAAGCATACAGAATTTCTGCAGGGCCGGTCCATCTCTGAATCTTTTATATAAGCAGCTGAGATTGTTCAAACATGATATAAGAGGAAGATTCCAACTATTGTGCTTAAGCTGGATTTTGCAAAAGCATTCGACACTGTCAACTGGCTCGGATTGGACCGTATTCTAGCTGCTCGAGGCTTCAACTCGAAGTGGAGAAGATGGATATGCGGGTGTATTCTCAACTCCTCGAGATCTGCTGTTCTTGTTAATGGAGTCCTAGGGCCATGGATTTCGTGCAAACGTGGATTAACCGATTAAGGCAGGGTGACTCCATCTTGCCATACCTTTTTCTTTTACTGGGCCCTGTTTTGCTGCATTACTTCAGCAGTAAGCAGTACTTTTTAACGAAGGAACGGTACTTTCCTCGTACAACAAATCAGCATAAGTCAAATAAACGAATAGGGCCTGACACCCTACAAGCACTCATTAAAAGACTTTCAAGCACCATCAGATATCCAATTGACCAGGCGTCAGGTGCTGTGACCCTGTAGTACGCGGATGATACCTTAATTGTCCTAAGAGATGACCAGTGGAGTCTCTAAGCTCAAGGAAGTACTGGACATGTTCTCCATTGCAGCTGGCTTAAAGATCTGTAATCAGAACAAGCGACGGAGCAGGAGCACTGGCCTGCAGCACCCGAAACCCCGTGGGTAGGCCGTAGGCAGGAAGGGGAATCGGTGTCGGTGACGGTGACTCGGTGAGTCCGTCCCGCACGCCACGCCGAGCGAGTCGTCGGTCTCGGTCAGCCGATGCGGGCCGGTCCAAGCACGTACGTATACTATTCTACCGTCCCGGGAGGCAGCCGGCAGGGATGGAGACATGGGGTTTCCCGCAGGCTTCCAGGCACGAGCGTGCACCCGGCGGCACTCCGTAGCAAACTCAGCGTGACGCAAAGCCTGACTTCATCAACAGGCTAAGGCCTCGTTCGTTTTGGCCCGGAATGGCCCGGAACGCGGCCTGATCCGCCCGGATTGACATGGCCCGGTTTGAAGTCAGGTCGGACCAGGATTGGTCATTCGATTAGATACGGCCCGGAAAGGAAACTGGCCAGGTTTGGCCATTCCGCTCCCTCCACGGTCCGGAACAAAGCCACACCTCCTACCCTCCGGATCGGATCCTGGAGGAAGGCGGCACGAGGTACGACGCGAGAACCAGAGGCGAGGCGACCACAAGCTCCCGCAGTGGAGGCGACGGCGGGGCGGCGCGAGGCGACGACGACGGCGACCGCGACGCCATCGACTCCAACCATACGTCCTTCCCCTTCCTCATCCTTCTCGCCGGTGATCCCCTTGCTCTCCCCTTCGTCCTCGTCTTCTCTCCCTCTAGGGTTCTTGATCCTGGACAACGAGCACGATGATCTAGTTCTAGTTGAGATCCGCGGTGCGGGTACGCGGGATATGGATTAAATTTTACGCTAGTGAGCTCTCATCTTCCTTCCCCTTTTTTCTCCCTGGTGCCGCCTAGGGTTCATAGTTCTTGAAGTCAAGATTCTTTTTCTTATAAAGTATTGAAGCCTCGATTGGTTAATGATGAGTTGATGCAATTGCTTGGGTGTTCTGTTTACACACTGTTCCTTGTGTTCTGATTACAAAGTCGCTAGGTGATTCCTGAGGGGTTAGGAAATGTGGGTAGGTTCTTAGGTGGTGCTGAGTTGTTATATATGACAAATATATTGCGGTCCTAAATGAGAAGGTAGATGCCTAACATGATGCCTGTTATGTTTAATTGTGGTGCCTTCTTGCTGTATGAGTTTTGTCACCATATCCTGATATTCATGTGTCATGAGTTATGTAACTGCAAAGACAACTTATTTAGCAACTTTAGTTTGACTGAAAATTAACCATTTGATGTGAGATGCCGTATTGTTTTGTTTTGTTTTCCAAAAGAGAGAAAAAAGGCACTGATTGGACCAAAGACTTGTACAGGTAGCAGAGTACTAGTAGCATACTCCTAGTAGCAAAATTGAAGTTGACGTACTACAATATGTCATAATCCATGCTAGCTTATTTTGTGTTAATTGTGACCATGGCTGCTGCTGAAATGCTGTAACTTATATTCAATTTCTAAACTTCATTATGTATCCCGTGCATGTTTGTCTTCTATTAGTATGGTGACCTGGATACGTATATGCTTCATCCATTTAAAGTGCTAACTGTAATGGTTTAGTTCAGTTTATAAATTGATTCCATACAATTTAATCATATTCGTAAGTCTATAGTAACTGTAACTTAAATATAAGTATTGTCTGTCAGGTCAAACATATGCTTAGATCACTGTAAACATTTGGAAACCACCTGCTAAGCGCAAACTTCTTGTCTGAACCAAATCAGCACCATGAATACCTAGTGATTTAATTATCTGGACCTACAGTAGATGCTTACTCATGTTTTGAGTGAATTCACATTGCAAGCTTATTTTGATTTGCTCTTTTTTGCGAACACGCGCCAGGGAAAGGAATGTCCCTTTGTTTCAGTCTGTAGTGAAGACTGAAGTTGACATACCTAGCCTATTAGCTCACTTTGTTACTTGTATTATTATCTAGATGATGTCTTGATTTGCCAAATGGTTTCTTATTACTCGTAGATCTCTCCAGCACCATTTAGAGTTGGGGAAGGTGAACCTCCGCCTTCTTGGGATCCGGTACCAACTCCAAAAGGTATTCCAAAAGCTTTTATATGACTATAAGTTTATATATGCTTCTATAAGACGACTATAATCTTTATTACAGCTTCTATATGACATGGTCAATAATATAACTTCTATATGACATGGTTAATAATATTTAGCTTCTATATGACTATAAAATTATATGCTTCAATCCTACAATACGTCTCTCACTACGAGATCGTATTAGAAAGAGGAAGGAGGAAGAAGACGATGACATGATGCTATTTATTTTCCCCGCCTCATATCTTATGAGTTCTGCTAGAGGAGGGAAAAAGAAGAAACGTCATACTTCGGAAGAAACAGGCGAGGTTAAAGTTTGTAGATTCCTCGAGGGACATGTCAAGAACTATCAAGTTGCATTTAGGATGGAACCACGCATCTTTAGAGAATTGGCAAATTATCTTAGAAGCAAAAGGCTTGTTGTTGATACTAGGATAACTATGGAGGAGAAGTTGGGTTTCTTCCTATACATGTTAAGTCACAATGCCTCGTATGAGGATCTCCAAGTGTTCTTTGGACACAGCAATGACACCTTCCATCATCACATCAACCACTTCTTCAAGGTGGTCATTCCCGCACTCTCTCGCCGTTACCTTCAAGCTCCTGATCCTAATCAAGTGCATAAAAAAATCCAAGACAGTCCTAGATTCTATACATTTTTCAAGAATTGTCTAGGTGCCATTGATGGAACTCATATTCCTATTTCCATAGCCTCTGAGAAAGCTTCTCCTTTTAGAAATAGGAAGGGCACACTAAGCATTAATGTGATGGTGGCATGTGATTTCGATCTCAACTTCACTTTTATTTCTAGTGGATGGGAGGGATCGGCTACAGATTTCAGAGTGCAACGATCAGCTATGAGCAAGGGCTTCCAAGTACCTCCAGGCAAATTCTATCTGGTTGATGGAGGGTATGCAAATACTCCATCTTTTCTTGCTCCATATCGAGGAGTTTGATACCATTTGAAAGAATTTGGGGCTAGACATCGAAGGCCGCAGAACCCAAAGGAGCTCTTTAACCACCGCCACGCACTACTGAGGAACCATGTGGAAAGGGCTTTGGGGGTGCTTAAGAAGTGCTTCCTCATTCTGAAAGTTGCCACATTCCACATGTTGGAAAATCAAGTAAAGATAACTATAGCTGCTTCCATCTTCCATAATCTAATCCGATTACTTCATAGAGATGAGAAATGGTTAGATCATTGGCCGGATAATATCTCTCCAAGAAACTTTGTTGCTGTACCAAGTGGTGATCAAATGAATGATCTAAATGTGGGTTCAGTACAAGGCAACGCTTTAAGAGACACCATCGCCCTAGAAATGTGGGTTCAGTACCAGCAACATTTAAATTAGTCTTTGAATAGGCTGTAATAAGTTAATAAGCTTGTAATAAGCATGGATTATAATTAAGCATAGACTTCTTTTTAGTCTTTAAATTAGTCTTTGAATAGGTTGTAATAAGCTTTTGTCATGAATAAGCTTGTAATAAACTTGGCTTGTAATAATTGAATAAGCTTGTAATAAGTGAATAGACTCGTGTCATATACTCATATTTGACAGCGATGGTTGGAAAAGGCCCCCGAAGCTCAATATGATTGCAAGGGCGTCATCAAAGTTGCACCGGTTCTTGGGTACAACAAGTGGTATTAAAAAGAAGGCTTCTCCTAAATGCAGTAAGGCAAAGAAGACTGGAGGTTCTCCAAGAGGTATGGTGTTTAATTTTCTGCTATTATTGTTGTTATTTCTCTGCTATTATTGATGTTATTTCTTTGCAGTTGTTTGCTACTAAAAAGAACTTTCTTCAAGTAATTCTCTTCTATACAATTTATTCCACCATGTGCTATTATAGTAGTTTTAGTAAACCTATAACATGTAAACTGGTATTTCTTTACTGTTATTTCTATTTGCTGATTTTTGGTAACCTAATGTCTGACCATGGTTTACGTAGTAGTAAAGCAAAGAGCGGACTGGAATCCGGCCCTTAAGAAGTCCCTGGTAGACATTCTCCATGAGTATAAAGATAGTGGCTATAGAGATGACAACGGATGAACCCCTGAAGGGTGGAATAAAATGGTGAAGGAGTTCCATCTGATGAACAAGTATGTCAACTACACAAAGAGTCAGATTCAAGACAAAGAAGGACAGCTAAAGAAAGACTATAGAATGCTCAAAGAGGCAAGGAGGCAGAGTGGGGCCACCTGGAATGAAGATAGGCATATGGTTGAAGGATCACCATCTATATGGGATAACCTTGAAATTATAAGTTGATATCTTGAAGTAATTCTATGGATATCCTCATAGTGATAACATCATATTTGATCAATGGTTCTTTTTGAATGTGCAGATATTCCTTAAAATTAGGAAGTTCTGGAATAGGAAGGCAAGATTTTCACTATTTGATGTTTTGGGAGAGCTTTATGATGGGGCGTTAGCGGTAATCCATCAGCAGTCGTCGCCCTTGGGTTTGCTTGCGTAGCTAGCCGCCACCGCCATCTCGAACGTTTGTGTTGAACCACGCCGTGTTGCCGTGTTGGACGACCAACTCTATGCAAACTCTGAAGACTTCACCCTGATTGGTCACACGTGGATTGTCCACTTCGGTCTCTCTCTTGTTTATCTATAGGGATTATTATAATTAGCCGGATTTTTGTTAATAATACAAGTGATAAGTCCACTTGATTCGTCCGTGCACGTAGGATTAGGCAATTTTTTATTGTGCAGAAGAGGTGGTTAATTTACGAATAGATATTAGGCCAAGAGATAATCAAGTAATATACATCTTTTTTTTAGAAACATATACATCTAATTTATTGCCACAGTGTGTTTTAGTGAACATGTGCTTACTAATCTTCTTTATTTCAAAATTTCAATTCTAGTAATGAAATATGTGTGATGGCACGGTCACGAAAGATAATGAAGCTTAACTTAAGCTATTTCCACAATATATAATAAACAAGAAACTTAATAGATCTAATGGGTATTTATACTAGAGTACTGATTTCATGGCCGTTATTTCTAGTTTTTAGCATTTTTTAAAGATCTTTTTCTTTAACGCGCTCAGTGAGGATCAACATGGATTCTCCGATTAGTAATAATAAGATGCTATTACAGTTTTTTCTAGTTTTAAGATATGCCATCACTATTTGCATACCTTGGTGAAGATGTGAGTTAGCCGGTATCTTCCGGCCGAGTGGGCCCACCATATCGATGTGGCAGAGATGGTGTTCTAGACCCTCATGGTGGACGACTCGGGCATGTTTGCTTGAACTTATCATAGATGATTATCGCCTAGAATCTATGAATTTTTTCTCTCCACAAAAAAAGCTTCATGGGAGTTTATCGAGTGCCATAGAATATCCACCAAGCAAAATAGGAGGTGAAAGATATAGATGATGAGGGTGTGGAAACCTAACACCAAGGCCAAGCATGTGGTTGGGAGAACAGATCAGGAGTGCCATAGAATGTACGCTCATAGGGTGCGTCAAGCAAAGATAAGGACGTTCACAATGCGAAACAAAGCTATCTAAGAACAAAGCAAGCACACCTATTGTGTGAAGCCTGGAGCTTCGTGGCTCAGATCAACAAGAGAGAGTGGAGTATGGAAAAAGAAGATAGGGGCAATATGGGGCCTGCTTGGAACTTTGCTGGCTCACCTTGCCTGGCAGACATAGGCTAAACTAGCTCGGCAAAGCAAGGTCAGTGTTTGGTCCATTGTTTGGTTTGCTTGCTTGTATAGTGCGAACAGTGGGTTCAATTTGAGCTGATAGCGAGTTGGAGGCAGCTAGTGAGCTTTGCCTAGATGGGAGAGCCAATTTGGCTCGCCTCACGGAGCAAGGAAATCCTTGTTAAGAGCGAGTTTGCCAAGCGAAGCGAACTTTTCTGCTGCCACCAAACCATGCCCGACCTTGGTCCGTTCGCTTGGCTGAAATTGACTGAAAAACACTATTCTGGCTGAATTATTATAAGAGAAAAACATTGTTCCGGCTGAAAAAAGAAGCCAAACAAGCCAGATTATAAGGTAAGCCGAACGGGGCAAAAAACATGTAAGAGGTACGACATATTCCAAAGACCTATGTTATCGCAATAAAACATTTTGAAAAGCACGATGTAATAGTATATTTCAAACCCGAAGATATACTTTTTTTTGTTTCTTTGGTGATTTAAAAAATGATGACATACAATGACATGCAACCAATGAATTTATCTACTTACTCGGTTTCAGAATAAGTGTTATTTAGGGTTCCGTGGAGGTCAAGCTCTTTTAAGTTTAACTAGATTTATAAAAAATATGTAACATTTGGATCTCTAAATAAATTCATTATAAAAATATATTTAACAACTTATCTAATAATACTTATTATACATCATAAATACTAATAATTTTTTATATGTATTTGGTCAAAATTAAAAGCTGATTTGTCAGAATGTGATAATGGTATTTATTTTGGAACGGATATAGTATCTTCGGGGCGTGGGTCTTTGTTGGTTTATATACTACCACCATACATAATAAATAAAAGAAAATGAAAGTAGTGGTCGAACCGTTGAAGTCCAGGATCGGGCTTCATCCTTCAGCCGCTCAAGCCCAGGCCAGCCAAAAACTAGTCGCCGTGTTTGACCGGAGCCCTGTCCTGGTGTGTACAGTTTTGTTGACCGTCGGAAGAAAGGTTACCAGTTACCAGTTTACCACGAGCGGAAAGTGATCCCCGACGGTGACGGCCCGACCTAAACATCGCTATTCGAGTTCAACGCGTGCAGTCAATAACGAAATCATTATTCTAAGTGGCGTTAACCTCTAGTATGTGCTTATTGCTCAAACTTTATAGAGCACTCTAGACTTCTAGAGCGAAGACCCCAGCTGGAGCCCTGACTTCCACTGAGCAGGCATGGAAATGGAATTCTCCCCGATCGACACTGAGCAAGGACGCTCCGTCCAGATCACTGCTTTGCCGACGGAAAAAACCACGCACTAATCCAGAAAATTAGAAGCTTCGCAGCAATCACCTGCCAGCAAAGCATAACGGGCGCCTACCAGTCAAAGGTAGCTCGGGATACAAAGAACTGGTGGACTCCGTTCCCGCCGCCGAATTTGCTTACCGGAGCAAATCGGCCTCCCTATCCACCCCACCACAGACCCCACCGGCTGCCAAACGCGGCGGCCGCGCGCACCAGTCAGCACAACCAAACGCCCACGCCACCGAAGCCGGCGGAGACAATGGCACCACCGTGCCGCGCGTACCCACCATGCGCGCGCAGCTACTTCCTCCTCCTGCTACTCGCGCTGCTCCCCAGCTACCTCGTGCGCCGAGCGGCGGCGCAGTCGCAGCCGGCGGACGACACGCAGCTGCTGCTCCAGATCAAGAGCGCGTGGGGCGACCCGCCTGCGCTCGCGGGATGGGACGCCTCGTCCCCGCGCGCGCCCTGCGACTGGCCATTCGTCGGGTGCGATGGTACGGCCGGGCGCGTCACGAACCTCACGATCGCCAGCGCCGGCGTCGCGGGGCCCTTCCCGGCGGACGCCGTCGGCGGCCTCTCGGCGCTGACCCACCTCGACGTCTCCAACAACAGCATCTCCGGCGCGTTCCCGACCGCGCTCTACCGCTGCGCTTCGCTCCAGTACCTCGACCTGTCCCAGAACAACCTCACCGGTGAGCTGCCCGCGGACATCGGCAGCCTGGGGAAAAGTCTGACCACGCTGCTCCTATACAGCAACGGGTTCAACGGCTCCATCCCGGCGGGTCTCGGCGCGTTGACGAGGCTTCAGACCTTGTGGCTGGCCTACAACCCGTTCCTTCCGGGCGTGCTACCGGCGTCGTTCAAGAACCTCACCAACCTAGTCAGCCTCTGGGCACAGCAGTGCAACCTCATCGGCGACTTCCCGAGCTCTGTGCTTGAGATGAAGGAGTTGAACTTGCTGAGCCTGTCCAATAACATGTTGACCGGAAGCATACCTGCGGGTGTTTGGAGCCTGAAGAACTTGCAGCAATTGTTTTTGTACGGCAACAACCTCACCGGCGACGTGGTTGTTAATGACTTGGCCGCGACGAACTTAAGTTTCATCGACCTTTCGGAGAATTATAAGCTTACTGGAGCCATCCCTGAAGTCTTTGGGACCTTGAAGAACCTTACAGATCTGTACCTCTTCAGCAACCACTTCTCTGGCGAGATACCAGCAAGCATCGGCCAGCTGCCGTCACTGTCAATATTCAAGCTTGCCAATAACAAGTTTACTGGCACGCTCCCGCCGGACCTTGGAAAGTACTCAGGCTTGACCATTGTTGAGGTTGATTACAATGAGCTCACCGGTGCTATCCCTGAAGGGCTGTGCGCCGGAGGCCAGTTCCGGTACCTCACCGCCATGAGCAACCAGTTGAACAGCTCCATCCCTGCAGGCCTCGCAAATTGTACAGCTCTGGAAACGCTGGCTCTAGACAATAACCAGCTCTCCGGCGACGTGCCAGAGGCTCTGTGGACGGCGCCAAAGCTTAATTACGTCACACTACGGAGTAACCAGCTCTCTGGGAGTCTTCCGGTCACCATGCCCAGCAACCTTACAACGTTAGCCATGGAGAACAACAAATTCCGTGGCAGCATTCCGGCTACTGCAGTTGCGCTCAAGAAATTCACGGCCGAGAACAACCAGTTCTCCGGTCCAATACCGGCCAGTATTGGTTACGGGATGCCGCAGCTCCTGACACTGGACCTGTCCGGTAACAAGCTCTCCGGCGATATCCCGAGGAGCGTTACTAAGCTCAGCCAGCTGACGCAGATGAACATGAGTAGGAACCAGCTCACCGGGGAGATACCGGCAGAGCTGGGCGCCATGCCGGTGCTCAGCGTCCTCGACCTGTCGTCCAACGAGCTCTCCGGTGCCATACCGCCGGCGCTTGGGAAGCTGCAGCTCACCTCCCTCAACCTGTCCTCCAACCAGCTTAGTGGCCAGGTGCCGGCCGCCCTTGCCATCGCGGCCTACGACAGCAGCTTCCTCGACAACCCCGGCCTCTGCACCGCCGTTGCGGGACCCGGGTACCTCGCCGGCGTGCGCTCCTGCGCCGCGGGGTCACAAGACGGAGGTTCTTCCGGAGGCGTCTCGCATGCGCTCCGCACGGGCCTCCTCGTCGCTGGCGCCGCGCTCCTCCTCATCGCCGCGGCCTTCGCCTTCTTCGTAGTCCGCGACATCAGGAAACGGCGCCGCGTCGCGGAGCGGGGCGACTGGAAGATGACGCCTTTCGTCGTTGATCTTGGTTTCGGGGAGGAGTCCATACTCCGGGGGCTGACGGAGGAGAACATCATCGGCCGCGGCGGGTCCGGTCGCGTGTACCGTGTCATCTACACCAACCGGCTCAACGGGAGCGCTGGCGCGGTGGCCGTGAAGCAGATACGGACCGCCGGGAAACTGGACGGGAAGCTGGAGCGCGAGTTCGAGTCGGAGGCTGTCATCCTCGGCAACTTGCGGCACAACAACATCGTCAGGCTGCTGTGTTGCCTCTCCGGCGCCGAGTCCAAGCTCCTCGTGTACGACTACATGGAGAACGGGAGCCTGGACAAGTGGTTCCACGGAGACGCTCTCGACGCCGGCGGGCACCCAATGGCGAGGGCGCGGTCCGCACGGCGTGCACCGCTGGACTGGCTGACCAGGCTCAAGGTGGCCGTCGGCGCCGCGCAGGTGCTGTGTTACATGCACCACGAATGCGTGCCGCCCATCGTTCACCGCGACGTCAAGACGAGCAACATCCTGCTGGACTCGGAGTTCCGGGCCAAGGTCGCCGACTTCGGGCTGGCCAGGATGCTGGTGCAGGCCGGGGCGCCAGAAACGATGTCCGCCGTGGCCGGCTCGTTCGGTTACATGGCTCCCGGTAAGGATCCTCATCCGTGCTTGCTTCTTAACGGTCGATCTCTGTCAGATTTTTTTTTCTAGATTCTGCTGCATAACTGCGGAATAACCACTGTAGCAAATGTCCCATGTTTTTGTACTGCCGGACCTTAGATTGGAATGCTTATCTGCAGAGTGTGCTTACACAAAGAAGGTGGATGAGAAGGTAGACGTTTACAGCTTCGGCGTCGTGCTCCTGGAGCTCACCACCGGCAAGGAGCCCAACGACGGCGGCGAGCACGGCAGCCTGGCGGGATGGGCACGGCACCACTACCTGTCTGGAGGGAGCATCCCCGATGCCACAGACAAGAGCATAAGATACGCCGGGTACTCCGACGAGATTGAGGTTGTTTTCAGGCTAGGCGTGCTCTGCACCGGAGAGATGCCGTCGTCGCGGCCAACCATGGACGACGTGCTGCAGATCTTACTCAAGTGCAGCGAGCAGACGCACGAGAAGAGCAAAACGGAGCATGTCCCTGAGTACGAGGAGGAACCACTCCTGCTGCCACAGCGCGGTAGTCGCCGGAAACAGCTCTCCAACGGCACGGGGATTGACATCGAATCGAAGAGTGACTTCGACAGCATTGTATGAAGAAAGGAACCGACCACCGCACATACCAGTGAGTAAGTTAGGACAGCGTTAATGAACAGCTATAGTGATGCTTCATACTACATTTCAGTAGAGTACAGCAGGGAAATCATGCTTTCAAACTTGTCACCAGATGTTGGCTCTAAATTTGTGTTTTGACACTGTAAATTTGTTGCAAGTGACGCACACATTAGATCACTACCGAACAAATAGCAAAGGTTACGATTACAATTTCTTTCTGAAACAAATGCAGGTGTTCTGCACATGCATTCAGAAATTAGTACGATTAATAGAAGAAGATAGAGATATGACGTGTCCCTTCCATCTGGTGAGTGACACGTGATCCCGAGAGCTAAGGATTCGAATGTGATTCTTTTTACATTTCCTGAGTCAATTAATTAATTCATAGAATTAAAAAAAACAATAAAGTGAAGGGTTGAAACACGTGTGCTTCGGTGTTTATGCGTCCAGCACGACCCTTATATATAATAAATCTTCAGCCACAAGTCATTACACGTTTCCTAGTAGTAAAAAAAGATAGAAGGGCCACATGCATGGCACATAATCGGACGAGCGGGTGCCCGACGCTAGCATTTCACCGCAGTGCTGCCAATCATGTCGTCCTCCCATCTAGCCTATTACTTGTCGTATGTGTTGTTTTTATCGTAAATATATAATACATAACATGTATGCCGTATCTAATTTTTAACAAGCACAAACTCTCACTTGACCACAACAAGCCTAATGAGAAGGGTGGATGCACACTTGCTACTATCCTTGCACTAATGAGGCTTTAATCTTGGATTCTCAAATCTCAATCACCTCACTAGGCTCTTGCTCTCCTTTGCACTCTCAAGGGTGTTTCTCAGCTGAACAAATGGGCAAGAGGCCTCCCTTGGATGAGTGGAGTAAGTATTTAAACCCCCTCATTCAAAACATAACGTTTGGAGGCTGAGTCATCACTCTGTGGGGTGACCGGATGCTCCGGTCAGGGTAACCGGACGCTCTGGTCAGTTATCCCCGCCTAAGAGCCGTTAAGTTCTGACCGGACTCTGACCTGCGTCCGGTCAGCACTAACCGGACGCGTTCGGTCACAAAAAACGCTCTCTGGAAGCTCACTGATGTTGACCGGACGCTGGCACCCAGAGTCCGGTCACTTCGCTGTTCAGCGTCCGGTCAGTTACCGAATCCTGACCAGCGTCCGTTCAGCACTGATCGGACGCGTCCGATCAGGAATCCTCTCTAGAACCTCTCTGGAGTTGACCGGACGCAGGCACCCAGCGTCCGGTCACTTTTCACTCAGCGTCCGGTCATGACCAGATGGTTCCAGTTGATCAAATGAACTGACCGGACTCACCCTTCAGCGTCCGATCACAACCAGACTAGCATCCGATCAGTCATTTGACCCTCCATTTACTTCCAACTCGAAATCATATGTGAATGAAGTTTGCTCCAATTGATCTTAGGGCTACTCCGGATCTACATAGTGCTAGATTTGATAAGTGTGCACCACACCTAACCCACTAGACTCGCCTAGGTCAAGCTACTAGTCCATAGCCCCCTTAATAGTACGGCCAAAGAAAAAACAAAGTCATAAACTACTCTAAGTGTCTCTTCAATACCAACCGACACTTAGAACTAGTCCATCCTTAACCTCGTCGTTCATCCTTTGAAAACCGAAACGATTTCCATTGTAGGGTCATGACAACCATGCTTGCCCAATCAATTGTCATTACCATGACTGCAAAACACACGTTAGTCATGGTAATCTCGTATTGTCATTAATCACCGAAACCCAACTAGGGGCCTAGATGGTTTTAATCTCCCTTTTTTGTGATTGATGACAATACAACCTTGAGTATGTAAAAGAGATGAGTGAGGTTTTCAGCATGCTTGGATCATATAAGCTTTTGATAATAAGAGCAAAGGAGTTAGATATGCTTATATGACCCAAGCCAACATGGTGTACTCAATAGATATGAATTAAGCAAGAGTATAAGAAGTAAAGCTCATTTGAATCGGAGTAAAAACACGGAAGCAAAGCAAATGAGCATAATGAAGTGACATGACATATATATAAAATCAAAGTAGAGAGCACACATGTCACATAAGTATCACAATCACACGTATGTAGTTCAATGCATGAAAGTAAATGTGAATGCATAATGTATCACACATAAAGAGCCAAAAGTAATAAATCATAAGCTCCATCTAGATGTAACGCTCCCCCAAGATCTAACATACTCAATCCCTCTCCCCCTTTGGCGTCAAGCACCAAAACCTAAGGGTCGGACGGTGGGGCAGGAGCAGACGAGTCGGGCGCTGAGGTGCGGTGAGAAATCTAGAACTGTGCAGCATCATCCTCTGACCCTGAGCTCTGAGCAGTCTGACCCTCTGTCGCTGGAAGTGAATGTGAAGTGGTCCGGGTCTGCTCAGGAACTTACGCGGCCTGTGACTCTGGTAGTATCACTGTAGGAGGTGGCTCTGATGATGCAATAGACGATGGGAGCGTCTTAGTAGTCCCAGTAACTAGAGCAACTGTGGTAGGTACAGGGACTCATAACTCTGGCGGTGTAGGCTGCCCTGTAAGCTCACTGAAAGTCGCACCGAGGCTCCTGGAGACTAGGGTGTCAGTCACAAACACTGAGAAACTCTGAGGCAGAGTGAAGCTCGTAACAATAGGAGTGAAGTGAGGACCCTGGGCTGTCACTAGTGAGGCAAACCACTAGGACACCTGCTCTACAGGTGAAGCAAACTGAGTAGCTAGATGTCCTTGACTCTGAAGCCCACTGGGCTATACAGCTAGAGTCACTAAAGTGGTGGCAGGCTGGCCTATCTGAGGTGTAGTCTGTGGAGGAGCGGCCCCGATAGCAGAGAAAACGTGATGCATCAACCCAAGTAACTGTTGCTAGATCATGAGTTGTTGCTGCCTCTGGAACTCGTCCTATCGAGCCTAAACCTGTGCAAGTGCAGTTGCGGTCTCCTGTGCCTAGCATGCCTGGTCCTACCTCATCTGCTCAAGTACTGCTAAAAGAGCTAGATCTATCTACAGTGGCTGTGGTGGTGCTGAGTTGGAGCCACTAGCCTCTCTATCGTGTGGTCGAGGGGGCATCTAAGGAATAGGCTGGTAGTCATCATCAGAACTATCACTAGGGTCGCTCTCGATCACACCCTCCTGCTACGCATCTAGCTCCTCCTCCTCTATCGCTGCAATACCCCTGATGATAGCATCAAGAAGCCGAGCTGTAGGAGTAAGGTCTCGTGGTGTCCTGCTCGACCCCTCACGCAAATGGCTCTATGAAGCATGGTCGGACAAGATCTGTGGGTGGCACAAGCCCACCGTGAGGGCATCTAGGAGGCTCTGTCTAACCATAGCAAACCTCGTGAAGGCAAATGGGTGACTCTGGAATCCAAAGAATCTCTCTGACCCTCGAGCTCTAGAGCCTGTAGTCACGGCCTCTGAATGCAAAGTGTATGAATCTGTGCCTCGGGTCAGTCCAAAGTGAAGAGTAGAACTCACGGACCCATGATGGAACATAGCGGCCAGTCCATCCAAGAAGGTCTGTCAACCCTGGCAGATATGATAGATGGGGACGAATCTGCTCGCCTGCAGCTGCAACAAGTGACTCAATGGAGCAAACTCTCTGAGATCTGAATGCAACTCCACTGTTCAAATAAGCATTATAGAAATCCTGTGTATAGAAGTGCTCTGAAGCACGCTCATCCCGCCTCGGTGGAAACTAGTCCTCAAACTGCACGAAATGGAGCTACTGCACCTGCTTGGCTGTGGCTGCACTCAGGTCAAGGTGAGTTACCAGAGGCGAACCCTATGGTCTAGGAGGCAAACGAGAGCCCCTTCGCAGTGTCTTAGGTCTCGGTGTCACCTGAGTACGAGTACGACCAGAGCGTTAGAGCTGTGGTTGTGGTACCTGCTCTGTCTCCTTGATCTGCTCTACCTCCTTAGTCTGCTCTGTCTGCTGGGTACCTTCTGACTGCTCTGCTGGATGTGTCTGCTGCTCAACAGTCTCCCCCTAAGGCTGAGTCTCCTTTAAAGCGACACGTCGTCCTCAAGCATGACAGTCCTAGCTAGACTACCATGATGACTCTCAACCCTCTCAACAGCGGCCCTCTGTGCTGGTGATAGCTTATCAGCAATGCAAACACCACTCCTAGCTCCACCTCTCTTCGCTCGCTCTGTGGCGGCTGCCACTGCTGCTGCTCTCTCAGTATCAGCATCTACAAACTTACACTTCTTCATCGTAGTCTTCTTCACCTTGTGTTTCTCCTGAGCAGACAGGCAAGGCAGAGGCCTCAGATCCTCATCATCGGGACGACCTCTAGCATTCTTGACTTGTGCCATTGCTGGAGCTAAAGAGAACTACTACCACGGACAAGAATCAACTGCCAACTAACACTCGCGAGCCTTGGCCTTGATCCGTACTTGCGGGCTTGGCCCCGAGTTAACTCACCACTGCCAAAAACAACCTCAAAAACACCGACTCGCTGCACGATAGAATAGATAGGATATAAATAATCATAATATTCATCTAGAGGTATGAAACCCTAAGAAGCAAGCAATAGATATGAAATTGAAAGCGATGGTTTGCTACCTGACGAACCGACGACCGAAGAGCAAAGGAACGAATCACGGGGCACCACCGGAATATGCCTAGGGTTAGGGTTTACAATGTGGCGGTCGAGAAGACGCGGTGGCAGAGGCAGACTATGGCACAGGCGTGGATGCGGTGGCGCAATGGCAGAGGTGGTCGTGGACATGGCAGTGCAGGGCGTGGCTCAGCGATGGCTCAGGCGGCGCCGCAAGGCGCGGCGCTATGAAGCAGATGGCGCAGCGGTGCGCTGTTGCAGTGAGGGAGGCACAAGCGGTGGTGCTGGTGCGCTGTGGGCACGGTGGCGCGACTACGGGGTGAGGCATGGTGGCATGGCGGCGTGAGGCTCACGATGGCATGGGAGCATGGAGTGGGCATAGCGGTGGAAGTGTGGCT